TTAAACCCAAGTAGAACCTACAAATAGATTGGACATTATCTGTGTAATCTCTCCTTTTCTTCTTTTCTTAGGCATCATCATAGTAACTGATAACCAGTGTAAGAGAATATGAAAATTCAAAGGATTGTATTGCTACTGGTAATCGCTGCATATACTGTAACAGTGCTTTTCCTTAGGTAATATCAACCTCATGTAAAATGAGATTTTTACTGTATGTTGAGCAATTATCCATTTAATAAAGAGCCAGATCCTGAGTGTAATTGAAAAAGCAAAATATATGTTGGTTATTAGGATAGATCTCCTTAAAAACCTCATTTTATTATCCATTAATTCCATCTGCTACTGTCAAAAATTGAGTTCCACATAGGTCATAAAAACCCTGTTTAAACTTTTTTTTTTACATTTTACATAATTTTGTTATCACTTTTAAGACTTGTGGGCCACAGCTAGATTCATAAATCATACTCAACCGATCTCCGAACGTGATTCCTTCTGTCATAGAGTGATCCGCATCCATTACACTTGCTCAAGGTCAAACCAGGTCACTGGCATCCAAGCTGTCTATTGGGAGTGGTCCCTGGCCCTTGCTAACTCCTGAACTGAGCCAAGGAATTGTTACTTGGTACAGGTCAAAACTGTTAGTGGCTATTCAAAAAAATGTTGCAGGATATGTATGCCTGAATTTCAGAGCCCAGTAACATTCCCAGGCACCATTTCATTTACTAGTGTACATAAACCCATCGTGTTATGATGTATTCTTTCACAAGATTTTCTATTTAGGGCACCTGTATTTCGATTAATTCCTTCTGCAAAATGGGTATTTGCATTGTTCAAAACAGTTACACAGTCTCATCTCTTGATCCTCAGCTATTCTTTCTTAATGAAAAAGAGTTTTCTCATAGTTCTTCACGTGCACGTACTAAGCAGAGAAACCCTTCCTCAGAATAAACACGGTCTAATGTCTGAAAAGTAACGACTGATAACAAGGGAGAGGCGCATCTTTAACTTCAAGGAACTTACATGTCAAAATTGGAAGCCTGGACAGAACAACGGGACTCCATTAAGATTTCAATCCTCTAAAATTATATTTGGCAGTCTTACCTCATTCTGCTGATCCATGTCTTGTTCCAAACTTCTTGAAACATTTTATTTGAATTTACTTTTCATAATAAATGACTCTGCAAAGAGCACACTTACTTTATTTCAATTATTTCTACTATCATTAGGGAAA